CTGAGTCACTTTGTAATGCTCATGGCTAAACAGAGATTGAATGTGTATCAACCCAGAGAAAATGTAACACTCTGTACCACCACCCAAGATTTCTTATGCTATGACCAGGGTGGTCACAGTGGAAAAGGATTAGAAAAGGCTTTTTCAGGAACAAAGCTCCCTTAGATTTTATTAAAAACAAATAACACTTTTGAAAGTATGGTATAAAAAGTTTAACTAGTAAATTATATCACCAAGTAATTAGAATGATGTGATGATATATTGCCATCAGGATAAATAAGCCAACTACCACTAAAGTAAAATTGTCTCAAAAAATACCTGCAGTGGCTTGTTTTTGTTTTTAATAAGAAGTTCATTAGAGGGACTCTGTCCAGAGATGCATAAACAAATCATTATGCTTACATGAGTAATTCATGAAAGGCATCCATAATGCCAGTTCAACATTTTAGCACTGTTAACAAGCAAATGAGCTGTATTACAATATCCCTCAGGATAGTTACCAGGGTGGCAAAAGCTCTTTACATGAATTAACAGAATACCTTATTTAGGATAGAGGTTTAATTACAAGCCTGATTCTGAGAACAGTGCCAAACAAGTGAGATAGTTGTAAAAGCTGTATATCACGAACAGCATTCCATTTACCTCTAAGCAGCCTCCCATAATAGGTTAAGTAATAAACATTAAATATTTTATATAGCCACTTAAAGTATATATATACCATTGTTTCTGAGTTTGACTAGACATCACAGAATGAGGTACACCGTCCTTCTAACAGCATTTTGGCCACATTTATCTAACATACTGAGTGGGACTATGTTCTGTTTCACCAACAGAAAATGGGGGGGGGGGAAGGATAAAGATTACAAGCTTTTTATTAATGCAGCTTTTATCCACCCAGCTTTTCTGAAAACACTGCCAGTACCCACATGTATAGAAAGAGACTATCAACTAATGATAAGAGGGACATTGCTTAAACACATACTCTACATCCCAACACACTCGGATGTCCCACTCCAACAGCTCCACTTTCAAAGCGAGAAACAATCACACTACTGCCAGTCCCAGGCTTACCTATACACTGGAGTTCAAATGCAATTATGCTCTATACAAGATAAAAGGGAATACATAATATACATACCCCATAGCTCCCTGAGGCAGTCTCAGTCCTCCTGGAAATCTATGAGATTGGGAATTCAAGATCTGCCTAGAGAAATTAAGTCTCTTTCAAAAACAGCCAAAGCCAGGAGCCAGATCATCCAAACACTGACAACAACAGCCTTCAGTAACTTACTCCTTGTGGCACAAAGTAGAAGCAAGGGACTGGAGTTCAAACTCCCCAAGAAAAAGGGAGGAAAGTAAGTCTCAACCTCGCATGGCTAGCAGACAAAGACTAGAGGCAAAAAAGTGAAAGCTCCCATGGCTCCTTCCCATATAGTATAGAGAAATCTGCCTGGATGTTATTTAACTACTCAGGCTTTACAGCAAATTGGACACATCATGAGGCACTTATCCCCCTCCAACCCCAGTAGAGGAAAGGAGGACATTTTCTCAGTTGTTCATCTATATCTCAACATTTTATTTTTATAACAGAAATTCAATTACATATGCCACAAATCCCTAGTAGTATTTATTTAAGTACAGTTGTATACAATGAAGTTGCATAAGAAAAATTTCTCCCCTCCCCTGGAAAATATCTTCCAAATGGTGGGGCATTCTTGGGAAAGGCCAGGGTCTACAGTACCAAGAAGGAATTGTTCTGATTTCTTAAAAATTCCCAGAACCATAGAAATTGGAGCATGTGGGATTTCCCTTGTCTTAACAACCTCACTTGAGTGCAATCCAATCTGCTATATCAAGTTCAGGCAAAGATTTTCCAATTCAGATAAAATACAATTCTGTGCAAATTAGACTAATGTTCATATATACACATATACATAAACACAATTGAAATAAAAGTATTTAACATACAAAGTTATTTATATAAACTCATGCATTTTAAAAATGCTATACCCACTTTCAATATTTTTTATAAATACAATTTCATTGGAATTACAAAAAGAATTATTTTAACTATACAATTGATTAAAATTATAAAAGAAAAAAGTGTATGTTCCTAATATTTGCCATTTTAATGTCATGAACCAAGCAAATTAAAGATCATCCAAACATTTTATTTGATGATTAATCTTTCAAAGAAAATAAAAGATCTTTGCAGTCTTCCTTAAAAAGAATGTTATATGATGCAAAAAAGTTATTAATCATGATTCAAATTCTGCAAAACAGCACCTTACATAAAGTTGTATTCTTTTTAAAGTAGACAGTAGCTTTAAAAAAATTAATGTTCTAAACTCAACTTACATATATCTTATACATTTTAACTCAGTTGTATGACCATTGAATGCAGTAAATCTTACCCAAGAGTATGTGAGATAAGACTGTAGACTTGCTTAAAGGAAAAATAAAAGAAAATTTAGGGTACTCTATTCCTATGGCAGGAGTTCTCACTCTGTGGTACTGTAACCTACTAAAATAATAAATGACACTGTGTGACTTCCTTCATGAATAAAACTAATAATTGCAGGGGGAAGGGATTCACTATGCAAAGTAGGAACAAAGCATGGAGTGAGTCTTGATAGCATTCCCACTTAGCCTGCACAAGCCTAATCATTTAAAAAAAAATCTGTGACCTCCCCAAGTTGCATGTAACCTCCCCCCAAGACATTGCAACTCACCGTTTGAAAACCCTTCCCTGTGTGAACCAATTATGTACTGACCATAAGAACTGTGTTTGCATTAAACAGTGAAACAAAATTAGCCAACCACATTTTTATTTGGTGTGCTGAATATACCAAACATAGAAACATCTCTACTCAGATTCAACTGCCACTTGCCTTAAAGCTGCAAACCTGAGGGATAGCAAATCAAAGCTTTTCCACTAGCAAGAGGAAAAAGCCACAGGGAAGTGACACACTTTCTTATCAGGTCAAGAAAATCCAATCAGAAATTGGAACTAAAAGCATACTGGTATCTTGTTCTTTTGTTCTGATGTTGTCAGATTAACTTCTGCTATTCTTTTTCCCTTCAATCCCATTCTTTTTAATTTGTAAACCTTAGGGAAGGATCTAATATTTTTTTATTTAGTCAATGTGAAATACTTTGTCTTAGCATGAAAAGCAACAGAAATATGCAGGGCTTCCGGGAAAGAAATAGCAGACTGAAGATGGCTCCATGAAAAGTGGAGCTGCCGACCGCAGCAGAATGAAGAGCCGGTGAGCAGACCGACTCTTCATAATTCCTCTCTGGACAAGGAAAGGACTTGAGATCATCCACAAGTGCTCCAGGCAGCTGCTCCTCGCGAGGAGACCACAAGACAGTGGTCTCTAGCGAGTTTAGAGCTCTGGGAGACAAAGGAATAGCCATCTTGCTCAAACCGCGGTTGGCGCCTTTGAAAAGAAATATGCAGAAAATAAAATACAATCAATTTATTTACACTATCATTTTGAGTGAAAAGGAATCCTTTGATGTTTTTAATATACTTTATCAGTAAATATTCTGAATACCTAGTTGAATGTTTCACTAGGTCTATATGCATTTAGAATTTGTTTGGTAGTTTGTCATCAATTTGGGACCTTACTAGCTTGCAAGCTCACAAGAAAACACTACAGTATTGAGTTACTGTGAAAAATGTATAAGGAACCTAGGAGATCTAGAAACATACTTAACATTTTATACCTAAACAAATAAAATCACTTATCACATTAAAAAAGCTGTATCTATTTAAATGAATTATTTAAAAAAGCATCCCTTGAGGGTATCCAGTGTAAAAGAAATGCCACTCTCAGAATGCCTACTGATTTCCCCAGGAAATTCAATTCTGTCACATTTTGCCAGTGATAGCAAATATTCTCTTAAACAAGAGATACTATAATATATGACAATCTGTATTCTGTTCCACTATTTCTAGTCACATGGTTATACTGATTTGATGCATCTGCCATCTTTTTTCCCCAAAAGCAGTCCACCAAACTGAAATAGTTATTTTGATTGTTTTAAAATATCTGGCCAAATATTTTATACATACATACATATAAATAAAATATGTGCATGCCCTTCAAACACTGAAAACAGAATAATCCAAGAACAAACCCATAAAGGAGCCAACTCCAGAATCTGTTTACCAGCCTTAGTTGAAGCATATTCAGAACCACACTTGGTTATTAATAAGAAAAAAAGCACTGCTGGGTTCACAGACCCCACTATGCTATTATGTGATTTGTCTGGGTCAGGTTTAGCGAGCGTCATGAAACCGGACATCAAACTGCTCCTCAATGATCCCTCCCTTCCACAGAAGGCTCAACGTGAGTACTTCTGAGGATGCGGCCCTGGAATAGAATCACTTCGTGAGTTCAGTGCGATTGTTGAAGCCAAAGGTCTTCGAATATAATTTCCATCAGACCTCCGCATGCGATCTGGAGATGATGGACGGTGTAACGTCAAACACATCTGGAAGGCACCAACGGGGAAAGCTAATCCAAACCAAGTAAGCTCATCCCAAACCACGACGTGGGCGGACCTTTACTGACATCAGTCCTCACCGACGCCGACAGCCCTCAAGAACAGCACTTACACGTTCGTAAAGATACAAGCGCGCACACAAGCGCTCCCGCTCGCCGTCCCTCCCGTCGCCTATTCCCTTTCGAGCCTTGTCAGGCCACCAGTGCCAACAGCAGCAATCCACCCGCCTCTGACCAGAGCCTTCGCCAGGACTCCCCTACCCCGCTGGCAGGAAAGGGGCACTTCGTTCCCTTCCACCGCAAATCCTCCTCCCACCCCACAGAAGAAGGCAATAGCTCCCGAAGCCAACTTCTCCCCCTTCCCCTTTCAAAGTCAAGCCGACAAAGCAACCTTAGACCGCAAAAAACCCATGGAGGCGCCCGGACGCGGAGGAGAACCGGGAGAGTGGCCGCAAAAGCGGCCGCCGAGAGAGATTCCGCCCTCACCTTCTTCATGAGGCCGACTGGCTTACAGGTGGCTAGAGACAGCAGCCCGGAGTCCGCCCCTGCCTGGACTAGCCGGAACTCTCGTCCCAAGAGTAGCAGCCAGGCCTCGCTCTGGGCCAGACTCTGCCCAAGACAACTTCCGAGGCCAAGCAGGCAACTCCTTCCGGGCCAAAGAAGGGGAAGGGTGGGAGTGGCTCGCCGGTCTCCCATACGGCGGGCTCTTAGTCTTGCCGGCGGGAGGGAAGACGGTGCGCGGTTCGCTGTTGCCACGCAAGGCTTGGAAATCACAGCGCGTAACCGGGGTGGAGAGATGTGGAAATAAACATCCGCTGGCGGTCCGGAGTTTTGCAATCCAGGAACGATAGCCCAACGCGAATACTGGCTTGATTTGCTACCAACAGAATTTGTTTCCAAATAAATAAATGCATTTTGCCTGTAATCCCATCAACACTTTTTCCTGGGAGTAAATAAAATCGTATCCCGTTAAGTAGAAGCTCAGAAGGTGTTAGCCTTGGTTTGTTAACTTAGCTGTTTCAGTTACCTGTACCTTTCTCTTGCTCTCAGTCCTAAAGCAAATGATTAGGAAAGAACCATGCTTAGCTTTATACTACGGTCAGACCTGAGTCCCAAGAAACAATCAGGTTGCTCATGAGTTTTACCAAGTTATTGATGGATAATGCCTGTTAAATCGAGCATGCTTATTTAATATTTAGAAAACAACTTCATTTTTTCATATAAAGTGTTCCCACAGATTTAATATTACCTGGAACTGGTCAAATACTACTGTACTCTGTTATTTATTTTAATTATTTATTTAAAATATTTGGCCGCCCATCATAGAGCACAACTGTGAGCGGCTCACAACAATAATAAAACTACAAAACCATAAAACTGAAAGACAGCCAGTGTGGTGCGGTGAGTGACTATGAGTTCCAGGCCTCCTTTAGGCACGAAAGCCTGTGGGTGACTTTGGGCCAGTCACTCCTTCTCAGCCCAACCCACCTCACAGGGTTGTTGTTTTGGAGAAAATAGGAGGCAGGAGTTTTAGATATGTTTGCCACCTTCGGGGATAGGGAGAGAGAGAGAGAGAGAGAGATTTTGGTCCCGCTTTATTTAGATAGATAGATAGATAGATAGATAGATAGATAGATAGATAGATAGATAGATAG